CAACAAAAACAGTTAAATGTGCAAAGTTTTTCCTGAAAAGTCAACAATGTTAAGAAGTAAACTATGCAGAAGACACATACCCCACAACTATCTGTGAAAAGGTTATCTGAGGATAAAAACTCTTTAAAACACACAGATCTATTCTTATGTCATCTTAACAAGTTTGCGTTCTCTTTATGTCACAGAACATGATAAAGCTTCTGGGTAATTCAGTTTGAGCTGCATGTTGCCCACAGTTAATTGGCCAGTTGTGATGACGGTGTTGCAGAAACTGCTACTTGACAGTCTGATGTAAGTGTTGCCTCAAATGGCAGCCGAAGCAGACTCTGTTCTGCATCAGTCAGATGCAGCCAAAAAGTTGTCTGATGAAACACCGTCTAAAGCAGTCGCTAATTGTTTCATTTGACCTTAACGTCTGGAAAGTAGAAGTCGTACTGCACACGAGGATGAATAGATGAATATTCATACCGTGCCACAAATTCTGGGGTGAAATATGGTTTTCTCTGCTTTAATCAATTTGTGCAGTCATCCATCACATGCAATCACTCGTACACCATTTTAGGTTTCAACAAACCTGTAATGTGTGCAAAGCTATAATACAGTTCTTTTTTTTTTAAGTGGATAAATTGGTCCAATGGAGGAACTACAATTACACTTGGGCTGTGTTAGATTGTACATGTGCATTTCTACAGCATGCGCTCAGCAGGGGATAATTGCTGATCAGTGATTTTTTTTCTCTTTGCTTGAGAGCAATGCCAAACGGCACACGTTTCTCTAACATAATTACTACTTTCTTTTTTTTTTTTGCCATGCTAGAGCAGCAAAAAACTCTGGTGAAGTCTTTGTCCTTTGCAGGTTGTAGCGTTGGGCTTATTGGAGTATTTCCATTACGAGCAAGGCGGCCACGGCATGACAAAAACGACAATAAAAACTGTATCCAATTAAAGATGTAATGTATTTTTAATTCATACTTAACTTGGGTGAGTTTGACAAATTATAATGGCAACTACACATAAGGTAAGGCGTGATGCTTTGTAGCAGTGGGATGATTTGTAACAGGAACACATTAATGTGTTTTTTATGTTCGCTTTATTATTACTTTACTAGACTTGTGTCATGTTTACCTGTGTTTTCTGACTTGCACTGGCTCAACCAAGACTGACTGACACTTAGTTCCACATTTTGTAGCTTATCCTTTAAAACTTTTGCCTATTACATTTCGAATACATATGATTTTTAAGTCATCTTTATCTTCAGAAGGACAAGAAAGATGGCTGCCCATTCTGTGCCTTGTTCTGCTAGTGGTTTCTTTGTGTCTAAAGGGAATTGTCCCTTTCCACTGGTTCCCAATATGCTGGCTATCTTAAACAAAATATCTATATTTACCGGTGGCGCAGAGGTCAGAGAAGTGTACATGTGATCGGAAGATCGCTGGGTTCAACTCCCAGTACCGACAACATCAAAATGTGGGTGGGAAAGGTGAAGCACCCACACCTGCCTCCACCCTCATTTGTCCCACTCTGGGCCCTTACCCCCCACCACCTGCTCCCCCGGGTGCCCTAGATAGCAGCTTTCTGCTCCACACAGAGGGCTGTTAGCTCAGTGATCTGTGGTTGTGTCAGGAAGAGCGTCCAGCATAAAAACAATTGCCAAGTCTTCGTGCGACTTAGTTCGCTGTGGTGACCCCTGAAGAAGGGAGAAGTCAAAAGAAAAAAAAAATCATAATGTTCTGAATAAGACTATCATATCATAATTAGATTGAATTGACTGTAACTGAGGCAGCACGGTGGCGTAACTGGTAGAGCTGCTGCCTCTCAGCGAGCAGGTCCTTGGTTCAAACCCCGGTCCAGGGGCCTTTCTGGGTGGAGTTTGCATGTTCTCTCCGTGCATGCGTGGGTTTTCTCCGGGTGCTCCGGTTTCCTCCCACAGACCAAAAACATGCATGTTAGGCTGATTGGTAACTCTAAATTGTCCCTAGGTGTGAGTGAGAGAGTGAATGGGTTTGTCTCGTTTGTCTCTATGTGTCCCTGTGATGGACTTGCGACCCGTCCAGGGTGTACCCCGCCCCTCGCACAGTGATTGCTGGACATGGGCACCGGCGACCCCCGTGACCCAAAATGGAATAAGCGGGTAAAGATAATGGATGGATGGATGACTGTAACTGGATTTTAATTGTTTTGAACTGAATGTGAATTTATGATTTAAACTTGTTATATTTTGTAGAGTGTGCTGGGATGACATTTTTGTAAATTGACTTTATATGGATAAAAGTAAAATGAATGCAACTGAACTGAGGGCTCTTAAACACCTGTCAATAACTGGGAACAAAATGAGCTCTACTCTGACCCATAAAGTTTGCTTAATTGAGGCTGATTTCCGATATATGGAAAAATAATATGGGGCGCAAAACCACACCAGCTTATGTTACTAATGATCTCAAGTTATTATAGAAATATGTTCGGTTATTACCCGCATTAACTTCTCCTGGAATGTGTTGTCCTGTCTACTTGGGCTGTCTGTGAGGAAAATGCCCAGCCATGCCAGGCTGAAGCTAAAAAAACACAATTTCACCCAAACACAGCTACTCCTTATGTTCTGCCAAATGCCAGGGATCATACACTTACCCTCCAAATGCTGCACAAGGAAAGTCTACAACTTCTTGCAAATCATTTAAATGTCTGTGCCATGTTTTTAAAGTATGTCACTTTAAAACAGAAAAAGTTCAATAAAAACTAGATGCATTGCCATAATTATAACATTTACAATCTCATATGCACACATGCACATTATCAACAGGCATGAAAGCTCTTCACTCAGCTGTTTGCCAGTAATGATCCTTCTCTGGCAGCAGGAGTATGTCGCTAACCAGCTGCAGTCACACGGCTTCCACATCTGCTTTTTATATTATGTACTTTGAACATCCTGAAGCACACTCACTTGATCCCTTGCTGTATACCTTTTGTCCAATTTTATGTCCTAGCAAATGGATGTTTATTTACTAGCCTGTGAATGGGACACTCAAACCTTCAGCAAGACACTGAAATTAATAGGAACACATACAGGGACTGTGTAGCTGGCTACTGATCCCTGCTCAGATTCTGGTATGCCAAAAGCATTAAGCTTAATTTGTGTTTTGGTGGTGCAATTATGGCACACAGACACATTTTTAAGTGGCAAACTTATGAAAGGCTAAACCGTAACAGACGTATCGCATTAACTTTCTGCTACTATCAGCGATCTGTTGAATTAGCAAAAGAGTAAGGAGTTAAATGTTGCATTGCCATGAGATGAGCAAATCTCCACCTGTCACACTGGAGACAGACCTGACAGGGTAACAGACTGCAGTTGTAAAAAGGATAGGAACATGGTAAAATCGAGTGGAAGGACTGACTATTCTTTTAGGTGCAACCCTGACTGGCAACCAGCGCAATGCTTGGACATTTCACACTCGTAAAACTTTATTACATATATTGATAACCCCCACTCTATTCTTTCACCATGGGATTAAAGCAGCAGCCTGTAAAATGAGTGGCAGAAGGTTGCTTAGAGAGAAAGCTGCCAAATATGTGAAGACCACCACTGAGCAAATTGGAAAACAAAATCCATATGAATCTAAATGCGGTAAAGAGCTGCGGTTTGTGAATTGCAACTTGACTAAACTAAACCTTTTCTGAAAACGTGTTGTAAATCTGCAACTCTACTTGAGTTATAAATTGGTTACAGAGAACGCCCTGATTTTATTCTACGTGACTAAATGCCACCATTCTTATTTATGAAAGCCTGAAAAACAAAAAAAACTAATTAACGCAAAGTGCAAAGATGGTCAAATACATTTAACATGATTCCTACAATGCACCTAACCTTCAGCAGCAGGTATGCACGGGTTTGCTGATGTTAAATGGAATCTGCCAATACATGAATACGCCTGAAGACACCTGGCAACATGTAATAAAGTAGGGTCATGGGTTCTTTGACCAAATGCAATCGTTTCCAGCATCAGTGTAAAGAAAATATAAAAACTGATTGTCATATTTACAACTTTACTTTGAAAACTTTAACTAGAAGCAAGATCAGTGGAATTAATAGTTTTTTTATTTCTTAAAGAGGTCATGTGCTTATGTGACTTTAATCCACACCCACCCCTTACCTCCCCACCAAACCCCCAAACAAGATGGTAAAATTAAATGCTGTTTGTCTCAACAATAAATATGCAGCCAATGGACATAAAAAACACACCAAAAATCACATTTCCTGATGTGGACCAGTTTCGGAGCTGAGAAACTTCACAAAACGAAAACTTTTGGGGATTTAAAAAAACATCTCATAGGACTTAAAAATGAAAACGTGAAGTAAAAATATATTATACGTAAGCAACGTTGTTTGGGGAACATCATGACATCGAGGCGTCATCTCGTTTTGTGCACTAGTTTCTTTTGTACTGTCGGATGTTTGTATCTGTGATCAAATTCAATATATGTATTTAGGTGGACATTCTGGTTGTAAATAGACAGGTTTGTACAAATATGAAGGGAGTTGGAGTGAGGACAGAGGATGCAGAGGACAGAGTGAGATGGAGAAGGATGACTTGATGTGGCGAACATGAAGAGGTCATTTAACCATTGAATCAAGTGTTATAGCCTAAATTGTCAGTTCATGTACAGTGGAATAGCAATATATTTAGGTTTGCACCTATTTTTTACAACATCTGTGCAGAGAATTGCTCAGAAAGTTACAAATGTTCATATTTCAAAATGATCACAATTGTGAAGATAAGAAAACATTTTTCCTTTTTGTTGAACAGTAAAAACTGCAAATGAAAAATAAAAGGGGGTTTGAAAAAAAAACAAAAAAAAACTCAGGTTTAAACTTGCAGCTGATCTTGGCTTCATTAATTCATAGCGTTGCACTGATCCATCTGAAACACTACTTTGACCACATACAAGCTAAAAACACAAACAGTATTATTACTAGTGTCTGTACGTGGTAGGTGATATTCTTACTTTGTGAGGAATATAGTGGAGTTTTCTTTGCTCTTGGAGAAGGTGACGGGGAGGAATCTGAGTGTGATATTCATCTTTCTGGCATTAGCAGCCAGTTTCTTTGCCTGTTCAACAGAGGATTAGATAGCAAAGTAACAGATAATACAATAAACACTGGTCTGTCTTCCTGAGACAGTTTATCAACAACTTCAAGAGATGAGAAAACTGGTATAGCCATAAATACCTATACAACATATGATTACGTAAATATGCTAAAACAAACTTAACTGGTGCAGTTAGAAAAGTGTGAGATAAAAGTTTTAAGATGCACAAAATCAAGAAAATACAACTTCACTCATATGTAAGATCTACTTTGTCTTTACATGAATAATTGTTCTTCACTGATTTATAAAGGTTTTATATTTCGTACACAGAACTTTTAACTCACATGACCCTGAGCTAGCTGTTTCTGTTTTAAATTCTTAATGACTGAGTAAATTAACAAAAAAAATACATAAATAAATACACTGCCAACGCACTGTTTCTTTCCTAAGTTAAGGTATTTTAAGTCTGTTTTGAAGTAACACTGTGAAAAAGGTTCATGGAACATTTTTTAATGATTTCAAGATAAACATATGGGACTCGCTAAGAAACTCAAAGTATAAATACCAGACTTACTTTTAAAGTGGTACGGGGAACCTGAATCATGTCGTCTCTGGTGGCACTATCAGCGAATCTTCCAGTATCTTCCAGAAACCTGTAATCTACAGGACAGGCAAAGGACAAAACACACAAATACAACACACGTGATAAGTGAATCAGCTAATTCTATTCTTTAACAAAACTAAAGTTTTAGTATAAATGATTGTTCTGCGTTCTTCGTGGATCACTCTGTGGAGACGTTTGTCAGAAACCGGTGGTTGAAATAAGAGCTACGGCAGAGGAACGTCTCAGGCTGGGAAGAATGTTTCCAAAAAATTATTAGAGTGATTTTAGGACAATTCAGGCAAAACCAGACACCTTCAGTAAGGGTCTGGACCTGAACTATGTAAAGCATCTCTGGAGAGATTCAACTTGACTTAGATTAAACCGATCTGACAAGAAGAACAGAAAGCTTAAACGAATCAGAGGACTTTTACTTCCAAAGGTTTCAAATCCATTTACAAAACTATCCAAAAGCATGTTTTTGTTTTGTCTTTACAGAGATATCTGTTCAACATATGATCATAGAACAATGCATTTTATTGCACAAGACAAAATTAAAAACAACAACAAAATGTCTGAAAATGTTCTAATGCTCACCGCTGAGAAGTGCCATTTCATCAAACTGTGACAGAGTCACAAATGCTGTTTTATTTCGAACTCCGCTGCATCCTGTGTCCTCCTTGTGTTTCTTCACACACAGCAAACTGGAAAACATAAACATGTCATTTAAATGAAATTCAGTTTCTTTGTATAATCAGTTAATACGGACAATAAAGACGATACACTGAGAAAAAATATGACCAAACGATGCTGCATCAGAAAACAGTGATGATAATTGGGATCAATTGCACATAATTTCTATGAAAAGAACGACGTACGGGCCACTTTATTCACAGCTTTCTACTTCAAACTGGAATAAAAATTAATGTTAGTCAAAGTTGCAATGAGTGTAATCAAAAAATACTTTTGTATATAAAATTATAGGGATGCACAATGTTAGATTTTTGTCCGATACACATTATGCCAATGTTAAAACTTATTTGGCCGATAACCGATACCAATAGTTGTTTTCCCTAGACCTACTTACAGAGACTACATAGCTTTCTCTGCTGTGGAATTAAAATATTACATTATTCTGAATGGTTTTTTTTTGTCAATTTGGCCTGCTAACAAATACAGATGCCAAAAAGGGGGGCTGTAAATGATGTAACACTTCAACTTGGATTATGTTTAATGTCATATGTATTCATGGCATTAATCTCTCTAACACAATGACAACACTCGAACCGTGCAAAGGTGTACATTTTCACAAATTAAACCTGCTCACAAGCGACAAGTGAAAAGTGCAGAAATAGTAGTGCATTAATGAAAATATTACTTTTTTTTAATTAAATATACTGTATATAT